AGCATTGGCCATTGTGGTGGTGTTTCTGTGAATAAACGTTAAAAGAATTACCATGCAAAAACAATGAATAATTCACAAAGCAACAAGAATAAAGCAGAGGACTGGGCTGCTCAACAGAAATGACAGGATGTTCTTCACCGTCAAATCCATGGTGATGGCAAAGAAAAGAAAAGAAAAGCAGATTCACTGCATCTTCTCAAGAGAGAGAGAGAGAGAATGAAAGAGAGAGGGAGTGTGTGTCTGTGTCTTTCTAAGAAGGAAGAGGTGAAAAGAGAAAAAGATGGCAAACATGAACAAACAGGAAGGAGGACTTCATCACCCAAAAGGTAGAAGTTGTTTCTACTTCCTTCTGGCAACCCTTCTGGTCAGGGCGGCAATAGAGTACTGTCATGATAACAGGATCGCATGTAACCTAGAGAGGGGCAGGGGGGAGCAAGGGAAGAGGGGCACAGTGGTCCAAAAAAGGCTCTGTTTATATATAAGATTGTTATGGTAATGTAACTTGGCTTGTCTTTCCTATTTCTTTGCCTAAGAAATTAAGTGGACATTTAGAAAACATATTTAAGCAAGGGTTCCTACTAGTATTCTGGAATTGTTCATCAAGTTTTTATGTATAGACTATATGTTTGAAACATAGAAAGTTTGGTTAGAATTGAGAAACACTGGTATGTAGCAATACATAACAAAACTATTGTCAGTCAAGGGAGCTAATCCACTTCTGGTTGCTGAACCAGTGGATAAGACAGTTTATTTTGTCTACTGGTTTGCACATTCAAGAAAACTTAATAAGAGAAAATTTGCCACCTCTGGGGGTGCAGGTTCAAATCATATCAGGGGGCACATTTTTTTTCATTAGGTTTTCTCAAATGCACAGGCCAGTAGGCAAATAAACACTGTTTAAAAAACAGGGTGTTCTACTCAAATGTGGGTATCCACTAAAAATGTTTAAAGTAGTAAAAATATGCTAGATTAAAAATAATAATAATCCACTTGCTGAGCTGGCATTTCACCTTCAGTCATTTTCCCATTGCTGTAACATATCTTCGCTTTGCCTCTACCAGGGCTAGTGCATATTATCCCCAACGGGGAGGGGACCCAAGCCTCAAGGTGGAAACCTAGACTGTGCTTTGTGACACTCGCCATCTTATCAACATTTGTTTTTTTTTTCCACATACAACTGACTATTAAAGGATAAAATATTTTCACAGATTTTGATATCATTCTGGGTTTTTTTTTCATCCAAATTTATGGATTTGCTAAGTCTAAAAAAACACTATATAAAATTCACTATTTTTTATCTATAATGTTGAATATGTTAAAATTCTTCAACATTTTAACAAGAAAAATCTCAAGTTGATGTTAAAAATTGCCACAAAGGATTGTTGATTTATTTAATTTGGTATGATCTATTATGACATGTCTCTAATTTGTATTTAGTATACATTGTATTTATTTTCCATTTTTCTAGTTGAATTGTTCACCTATATTACATATGATTTATTATTATACATAATTGGGTTCCAATAAAATGTTTATTTTGAAAGTTCTCACCTTTATTCCCACCCATTACAATTTGTGACAGATTTTCTACAACTCTATAAAACTAACTTGCTTGACAAACAACTGAGCCATTATTCTATAGGGAGGTGTCAGTGGGTCTTAATTATGCCCAGTATTCAATCAATTACACATTACCCCAATCAACAATAAAACTGATGTCTTTTAATCATCATTTTTGCATTCCTTCAACATGGCTGATGCTAACCTCCAGTAAAACACCCTATTGTGCCTTCTTGGTCTCATGCTTTTCACTGACATGAAGTGAAATGATTATATTGAATCAAATTTTATGTCTGTTGCATGGAAAGTTGGTTCACTTTATTATGCCAGACATGTTATTTTTAGCAGAATCTGTCTTCTCATTTATAAATCTACCATTCATCCATTCATCCATTCACTGAATATTGCTGCCACATCTGGTCTAGTATTTCTGCCATATATCTCAAGATTCTTGACAAAATTCAAAGAAGGATCTGTAATGTTATCAGTCCTGATCTGGCATCTCAACTTCTGTAACTTTCACAGTTGTAACATGGCTTCCCTGTGTCTTTTCTATAAATATTTTCATGGCAATTGTTCTAATGCATTCTCCTCCTTGGTACTTTTACCACATGAATTTAAGCATACTACCAGGAGGCACAGTGGAGTAATGGATAGCAGCTCAGATTGAGGAATCAGAGAACCGAGTTCGAATTCCAGTCAAATCCATTATGTTCACTTACGTGCTAATACCCTTGGGAAAGATATGAGTCCTCATCTACTTCCCCCAGCTATGAGTAAATAGCAGGACAGACTGGGTTCTATAGCCTTGGATGGCAACTAGTCTACCACTGAAAGAAATGGCAACCTACTGTGGGAAAAAAAATCTGCCTCATCAGTCATGTATTGAAAGATACATCATCACCTAAGCGTGTCTCACACATGGCACATAACTGACTAGATTGGCAACTAGGTCTCATCATATTACTGTTGCAATATCTAGACGCAGCCCTAAGTTCTATTCTAATGGTTTCTTTTTTTGCACTTCTCCCCTGTGGAACATTTACAGGTTCTTGCTCCCTTGTCACCTACAATTTTCAAAAATTTAAATGCAATACCAATTGCCATCTTCTGTTTTCCTGAATCCTGTTCTTTTATTTTCCTTTCTCCTCACTAAAATTTTCTCATTTCCTTTCAGTCTCAGTAACTCTTTGTATCATAGTGGCTTTATTGCATTGCTTGGAGTAAAAAAAAAAAATGAAAACTTCTGCCTTAGTCCAGGACAAAAAATCAACTGCCTATGAGTTGAGCTGTAAAGTTTGCAAATGTAAAAGCTACTCCTGTTAAGTGGTGAATTACCTTTGATTCATTTCATGCTTAATTTGTGCTTCCAACTCACTCTGTCAGGATATTTACTTGTACTTGGAGCTCACCGTTTATTTGACTGTTGGATGCATTTGTCTGTCAAGATGAAAATTAAATTTTATAAAAAGATTCCATTTGAAGATGATTCATTTAAAGTTAACTAAATTAAAAAAAAAATGCTTAAAAAGTGAAAGATACATTTTAACCTTAAAGTCAGTTGTTTTTTTTTTTTTAATTCTCCGGTATCCCATAAAAATCTACCAAAATTTAACTGCTACACATTTTTTTTTCTTTACTATTATGGAAGACTAAACATGGCAACAACAAATAAATATATGTCTTCCATAATTGTAATAACAGTCAGTAACCTGTTTTGCGCACAAGCTGGACAGCGTTCCTTGCGGTAACAGCGACAGGCGAAGCAAAAGTTTAAAATTTTGCCAAAAATAAACTAATTATTGGAATTCATTAAGAATAAGATTCTTTGAACTTATTCAATATTTATTTAGGAATTAATTTATTTATGAAAAGGGTATTTTTAATAAAAAAATTGTGAGTGATGTTTAAAATCAACTCCCACCCCATTATTTACGGTTTGTCACAAGACCTAGATTTTTTTTTTTTTAAACTAAGATTGAACAATCTTAATTTTTACTGTTTTGAATTATTTTATTTTTAACATCTGAAAGAACATAAAAAATAGAACAAAAACGAAAGAATTTATTATTTTATAATTCTTTACTTTTGTTAGGTTTATTTATTTTTTCATCGAGTAACATCTCAAAATATTTAATGTCACACAATGACGTTTTTTTTTTATTATTATTTTAAAATAATTCTGGGATTAGTATATTGCTCAATACTCCAAGAAGACAGTTTCCAAAAACGTCTTCGCGCAGCGACAGGCAAAATGCCAATAAGCACAAGGGAAGTAATCAAAAGGGATGATAAAATTCGTTCCTTCCATACATATTATTTGCAAAACGTCAGCCCGTAAAAAAATAAATTTTCTTAAAAAAAAATAAACTGGTCATTTGATTAAAAAAAAAAAAATTCTCGATTGTTAAAACATTTTTATTATTGAACAACAACCTTTTAAGTAATTTTAAAACATGAAAAAAAAATCAACAATTTAATAAAATTTATAAATGAAAATAAATCTTTTAAAAAATAATTTCTCAGTTATTTTTTCACAAGACAGCCCACCAAAAAAAAAAAAAAAAGTTTATATACACTTACACTGACAGGAACAGTATTTTTTAACAATATTAATAATAAAAGACTTTCCAAACAAAAAAATATTTTAGTTTTATTGTAGTTTTTATTCTGATCCATGGCAGATTTTATGCGGTTTAAAATAAAATTTCGATTGATTTATTATCCGCGGTGGGGGAGTTTTCTTTTAAAAAAAATGTAAATATTTTAAAATGCAATATTTATGGAACATTAAATTTTAAATTTTAACGTTTCATATAAAATAAAATTTTAAAGTAGATATCGTTGTGTTAAAAGTTAAAAATAATTTTAATAAGTTTTTATTTAAAAGTTCTCTATTCACTTTAAGTGCCAAATATTTTGTCGAAGTAGAAAACAGATTTTTAAACACTCAGTGCGCGTCAAAATATTTTTTCTTTCTTTCTTTGTTATTTTTCTACACGTAAACGGTGTTTGAAAAATGAAAATATAAATAAATCTTAAACTTTGTACACTGGGTTCAAATAATTTTTACATCAAAATTTTCTCCAGAATAACACAAAAACAAAAACTGTTGCTGTAAAAAAAATAAAATTAACACTTTTCGGCCGTTTTCATCAACACACATGTCGCCTTATCCTCAAAAGTGCGTGGCGGCCCTTAAAGCAGAGAATCTGCCTTGGCGCTGACCAGCTGATAATACATTTATTTCAATAAACACTTAGAAAAGCAACAATATATATATATGTTTCGTATAGCTTTTTATTTTATTTTATAAACTCTGCAAGGTCTGTAGGACGAAGGTTGTTGTACGTTTGGTGTGCCATAATCAGAAAAGAAGTGATCGTCAGCTGGTTTCAAGTTGAAGTCTGCTAGCGAAAGTGGCGCCACCATCTGTAAACATGGCTACCTGGGTGAATATGGCAAGGTTGACATCGTGGCCATCGTCTGTATCGGTTACTTACTGTCGATGCCTAACAACCGGACAAGCACCGCCACCGAATCCACGGCTTCTTCATCGCTTTCTGCTGAGGCAGCATCTCGTTCCGGGTGCACAGGTAGGAAAAGCTTAGATATGTTATTTAGAAGATAGGGAAATTGCACTAAAAACGTGTGAAGCAGAGATAAAAAAAACGACACGCTTGTTGGATTTAAATATTGTTAACGGTAACCTCTGATCCATTTTATTTTTAACTCTGGTTAGACGTTTTTTGTTGTTTAAAATTAATAATAAAATATTTTTATGATTTTTTTCTTAGTAATAATTGTAAGTCGGGAACCTTTTAAAAAATAACATTAAATTAGACCTCCATACACCCCACACGCTAAAAATGAGTCTTAGGATTAGAAAACCTTTTGGTTTGGGACTTAAACTTTATAAAGAACTAGTTAGTACTAATAATTTTACGAAACGTATTCAAAGTCTATCTTATCTAGTGTACTTATTGATTTGTTTATTTAAAAAAAAAGATAAACTTCTGTTTGCTTGATCATTAAGTACACGTGCCATGGAATCCTCATTTTTCATAACCTGAACTTTACAATATTTGTTTTTCATTTTACTTCGTTTATGTTTCAGTATAGTAATAGTTGTTGCCATTTAGAATACTAAAGTAAACTTATTTCATGAATATGATTAAACAAAAAACAACTTTTGACAACACTTCTTTTTAGTACCCTTCCAAGTTACAATACATGAATTCTTCATAAGAGTTGAAAACAAAAAGTTGTTTTCTTTCATTCTTAAGCAAGGTTGGAAAGGTATGGCTTGAGAATCGAACGGAACCTATGTTTTTAGTGTTTTTATCTGATCGATTTTAGAAGCATCTCTCACTTTATTTATAATTAAGTTTTAAGATTCACTTTTTTTTTTTTTTTTAAGCTGTATTAGCAAAAATGTCTGGATCTTTTTATCCTTTTAAAAATCATGGTTGCATATTTTTGAACACATTTTTTTTCTTTTTTTTGTAATTTACAAGTAATTTTAAGTTCGTCTATGTTTCAAAAAAAAAAAAAAAATACGCTATTTCTTTCTATTTCCTGTAGTTTCACTTAAACACTCCATTTCTTTATAATTGCATTGTCCTTTATTTAAAAAAAGATAAAAAGGTAAATTAGTCATTTTTTTTTTTTAATCTTCGTAGTTTACTAAAAAAGAAAGCTCCCGATTATTTTTACTACACAGTCTGGATTTTTTTTTATTGATCTTTTAGAAGAAATAAGGAATTTTAAAGGGTTCATGCCTAATTAGTTGATTTTAAAAATGCAACAAGACAATCTTGTTTGTCATGTTCTTGCCGTCGCTATCTCGAAGGTGAAAATAAAAGACGAAAAAAAAAAAAGCCTACACCGTGGCACTTTGAGATCACCGGGCACTGAAAGATGCAAAATATTAACCTTCAGCCACATGATTATATTCACTTTCTGTTTTTTTTTTTTTTTTTTTTTTCGAGCATGAAAATTATTTTTTATTTCGACATCAATAGACATCCAAAAAAAAAAAAAAAATTGAACCCGTTTGAGAAAAGTTTATCAAGCTAGCCATGTTAACATTGATTTGTTAAACTAAACAAAAAAAAAGTTTCCTTTTTATTTTAGAAAACATGTAAAATAAATAAATAAAAATCTGTGGGAACGTAATTTTTTAAATTTTTTTCCCTCTTTTAATCAAGTATCTCGCTCGCAATGCATTTATGGTTCTGGTTAAAAGTGTAACTATTTTTATAACTACATGAATTTATAAATCAATCGTTTAATTATTAGAAACAGTTATTCAGTTGGAGTTTCAGTTAACAACCATCAAAGAAAGGTATAAAAAAAAAAGCTTCAGTTCAGCAGAGCATGAGAGGTTCAGTAAAAAATACTTTAGAAAAAGACAAGTTTTGAATGCTGAAAAAGAAATTCGTTTAAACGAATTTTTTTTCTGGAAAATATTTGTGGGATACTTTCCTTTGTAGGGAAATAATGTGTATCAATGAAAACGTGAATAAACACGTCAAATGTATAGAACAAGAATGAAAAAGACGGCGTGTTTTTTTTTTTTTGTAAGATAAAGAAAGTTATTCTGTTTTTGACAAAGATTTCTCATTTCTATAGAGAAGTTAAGCTTAATTATGTATTGCACTTAAAAACTTACAAGAAGGTACGAGGATCTGACAGTGCCTGCAAGTTTACTATGCTTATGAGCCAGGGTTGCCAGATTAAAATTTTTTTATTTAAACCCAAATAATATGCAAAAAAAGCCAAGTTAAAATTTTAGTTATAATTTTTATTTGTTGTTGCTTGTGTTTTATGGGTATTGCTTCAAGGATTATGAGTCTGTTTTTAACTTTTTACTATTTGCTTTTTCTAGTATTTTGGTATTGTTTGTGAGTAGCTGTACTGTGATCCTTACTTATTAATGTGTTGTCTGATGGTCATATAGCCAAATAGGTGGAAAGGGAGTCTCCATTTATCCTGATAATGACTTAAGTCAGAAGCTTGGACCATATTTCCTGTACTTTTCTTCCAAAATTAACTTTGAAGAATTTCTGACTGAATTTCCTTGTCTGAGAAGGATTTTGTAACTTGGAGAAGTCGATCATTAACTAATCAACACCAAAATGTCTGTCGTTTATAATAGTATTTGACTTAAAGAACATTTGTTGCCTAAATACACACACACACACACACATATATATATATATATATATATATATATATAATTTTTTTTTTTTTTTTTTAAATAAAAAACAGACCACGTTAAGATTCAAACATATCTGCTCTGAATTTTACATTGAGCTCTCTGGATATCATCCTCCTCGGGTCTACCCATACGGATTACCTAAAGTTTGCATAAACTATATAATATATATATATATATATATATATATATATATATATATATATATATATATATATACACCCAAGGATTGGTGTATACAGAATAAATTTCAATAACCAACAATTACTATTCTTAAGAGTACTCAATACAGAGTAGAGTGAATATAATTATTTATTTAAAAATTATAAAATCACTACAAAAATAGCCATTTTGTTTCAACACCTCTGGTGTCTTATCAAGTGATGATGTTGAATGTAGATTGTAGAATAAAGGTTTAGATGTCAGATCCTCATATGTCGAAACAGACAGGAGAGTCCATTATATCCATAGCACTGGAGAAGGGGTTTGAAGTTTCCTTCACCTTGTTTCTTTTGGAACTGACTGAAAATTAAACAGAAGATTAAATTTGTCTTGTATTGGGGGGAAAATGAGAATAAATCCTGCAGCAGAAAATTGTTAGAAATAACAAGATCCATACATATGACACAGGAAACACAGGTAAAAAATTATAAAATATTTATTGCAAAAAAAAACAGACCTACATGATGTTAGTGCATTGTGTGCTGAAAATATGAAATTTTTGGCACACAATGGAAAAATGATTACATTCATGCACATTGTAAGCAGAGTCAAAAACTTACCTTTCCATTGCAAATAACACAACATAAATTAACCTTGAGTGGAAGAAACACTTTAAAAAAAAAAAAAACTATTATCTAGGTGGAAGTAAGGTTTATTATGAAAATGGGTAAGTTCCTGAACATATGTAAACAAATGCATTAGTATTTGATATTCTTCGTTTAAGAAAAGATAGAAAATAGATTAGTAAGTGAAAAAATTCTTAATTTTGGAAGGGGCTTTCCTCTATTGCTATGGTATTTGGATGAAGGGTTTCTTTGGCTTTGATATTTAGTTGCTGGAGGCAGCTGTGAATTTGTTGTCTCTGGAATCATTGGTAATAATTTTGCTTTGAATCTGGAGCATTCACTCTTCCCACAGGACCAGGAATTTAGGTTGAGAGCAACAATGTGTCCTTAAGGTAGAAATTTTCAACTCCTTGTAAGTTTTTCAATTCCTTAAGTACACATCGCGGGGACATTCTGATGACATCTTTGGAGAAAGATTGGCTGGTAGTGATTTCATACACCTAACCAGGATATTTCCAAAAGTGCTGGGTGTTAATTTCCAAGAATGCTGCAATGTCATTAAAACCAGTATGAGTTACATAGGCATATCACCAAGAAAATCAAAGGGGCCATGCGGCTGCCAGCTGATAGGCTGAGAAAATTGATGTTGGCAAAATTTCTTCAATAGAAGCTATGTCACGTTTTCGAAACGGGAACATTCCATCAAGGTAATACAATTTGAAATCAATAAAAAAAAAAAAATAACTTTTATACTTGGCTTCAGCCCATGACACTGAGCAGATCTGTATGATTTGTCTAAAATCATTACGGCCATTAATTTTAAAAATAAATCTGAAATCTTGAAACATTAACTTCTAGTGTAAAAAGCCTGTAGGTCTTATTCCAGAAAATAATTACAAATACGACAAAAAAAAGTTTTAAAAAATAACATAAAATGAATTTTTTTTTTTTTTTTAATTTTATATTTCTTCATTCTTGGCAGATATATTATTACAATGTTGGATATTTAATAACAAAAACGATGTAAATGAAGAAAAAGAATCTAAATGAAATTGTCTAGATTATATAGCCAAAACACGTTTAAAAAAAAAAAAAAAAAAAAAAATGAAAAATTCCCAGCATCTCTTGTTCATGTGCATGTGTAGTTGCATTAATGTAAACAAATTTAGTCCAATGAAGTCTTAAAGGGCGACACGCATCACATGAAAACCTTTTCCACTTTGTTATATATAATTTTCCTTGCATGCAGTTTTATCCCACATTTCAACCTGAAGAAGCCGAACCTAACTTGTTGGTAAAACACATCGTTAAAAAGCTTTTCTATTTTGTCTACTTTTGTTTCCTATACTATTCTATAACCTAATAACATGCATATATATATAATCTTTAAGATTTAACATCTGATTTTGCCTGCCAAATCCTCATTTTGTGGTGCTGTCTTAATACAATATTGCTGTCTGGACCCTGATGAGCAAATGATCATGAAATTAAGTCTGTATTTGATAAGTATCAGGAACTTGTAATATTTTTGAAATAATTATGTACACACACACAGGGTGTCCATAAAGTTCGTGTGCACTTTAAAAAA